GAAATCTCTTCGCAAAAGATGCACTTCATCCCTTTAGGTTTCTATCCAACTATTCTTACCTACGGCCTCTTAATGTTCGTGTTATGCAATCTGAGCTGTGAAAATCAATATAAAACAACCTTAAGCACAGATCAAATCAAGTTGCTCAGAAAATCTTGCTATATTAAATTGTTACGTAGAGGAAGCCCTTTTATTTTTCGCTCCTTTAAATCTGAGCATGACTAGTCATATGTATTGACTTGTTAACCATATTTTTTAGTCTATTATAGGTCAGTTAGTAAACACAAGCGTTTGTTGTTTTTTTTCTGATGAACTCGGAAAGGGTTATAAAAACACTGAACCTTGATAAAGCTGCTCATTATCTCAAACGTCTATTTATATCAAAACTAACAATGCTGTTCGTGAATAATAACTCATTACAATCTTCTTTAACCTTCTCTAACTGCGAAGCAACAATTATAGTGTAGACAGACTTATTTATCTACGAAAACTTTGATACTTGGGTGGCCGTAATGATGTCAAGAGAAAGACTGCTTCGTCACTAATTTTAAAAGATGATACGTCTGCTTACCTACAGAAAAGATAAGAAAAATTTCTTTTTTATTCATATTATTTTTCGTTGGAAAAAGTCATGGTTATGATTCCTACCGGGGCAGTTCTCATCCGCAAACAGAAATGAAATAAATAGAAGAAATAAATAGAACAGCGGCATACATGTGCTTTCTCAGTATAATAAGACCTTTTCATATGTGAAGATAAACATCTTATGCAATCTACTCTGCCCAACAATATCCTGCATTCTTTAAAAACTGGTTAAAAACTTAAGCGATTCTCTCTTTCTACACACAACACAGTCACTTGGAAACTCTTGCTCTTAGAACTTCTTCCAGTCAGTTTTTTCAGTGTTCTGTGCTTGTTAGAAAACGATCTCTACTTGCTTTCTTCTGTAGTTATGCAGTGCTAACCTTTCATAAGTACTTGAAAAAGCTTGTTTCACGAGTTTTCGCAAAATCCACTCATGTTTTTGAGCAATGTCTGCATTTTACATTCCTTCGGCTTAGCTTTCGAAAACACTGTAGTTTTTTGAAATTTTTTTACGCGTTCTTAAACTCTGGGAAAACAATATATCTCCATCTTCCCTGTGCAGAAGTGGTCTCAAATGTATTTTTTTGAAAACTAACCGTTTGGAGGTGTGCATTGTTGACTAGCTCATCTGAAATCAGAAGATTTCGAACAAACGTTGTAAATCAAGATCTTGATCAAGCTGCACGTAACTAGAGCGCCGCCCTATTACAGATTAGAACCATTCTGCTACTTCGGTCCTTTTAGTTCTTCAACGAATTCATCTAATAAGGCATTCCAAACGTAGATTGCCGGGAAATTAGGCAAATATGTCTTTTACTCGTGAAGATCATGTCAGCATGAAATTGAAAAAAGGAAAACAATTAGATAAATAAATAGTTCCTCACGTAGACCTTTTATATATTACGCGAAGAGCCTCATTATTCGTTTACAGTAGTGCTGTTCCTGCTCTACAAAGTGTAAGCGAATTGGCAATTTTCAGCAAACGGCAACCTAGCGTAAATGAACTGCTTGCAACTCTACAGATT